GCTTACCAGTAACCCAGAAATGTCGGGGTCTCTTCTCAGGCAGTGTGGAGGACAGGCGGAAACCAACATGCTCATTTTGGAAGTGTCTCTTTTTGTGGCCTCTCTAGTTGTTTTTCCTTCTAGTTTGGCTCTCATTTTGTACCTGTAATCTCTTGCTAGACATAAAGTTCTTCCCTAACTGTAGTTTTCAAGCTGCGAATAATGAATCAAAGAATTTGAGAGAGAAAGAAGGACAAAATTTCTGAGTTTTTGCATGGTTTAAGTGTAAACTAAACCTATCCAAATTTTGCAGAAGCCATTGGTCTTACCAGTCATTGATGGTCCCCAAGAATATCCCAGCATGTCCCTATACAGCTCCCATCAAAATCCCTCCTAAGCAGAGGCAAAACCACAGCAAAATACTACCCCAAATAAGAAGGAAAATAAAGGACAGTGAGATAAGGAGGAAGGAAGGAAGGTAGGAAGAAAGGAAAGATGGAAGGGAGGGAGGGAAATTTAATGAATGGAATTACTAATGAAATTGTTTCAGAAGTACTCAGAAACTAACAAGTAATGCTGCTGGTTTTGTTGTTGCTGTTGTTATTGTTCTTCTTGTTGTTTTTCCTTCCAGATTATATAAACAAGGGCAGAAATCCTTGGTTATAAAAGCTCTTTCTTATACCCAGATCTCACCTCAGAGAAGGACAGAACAGAGTTTCTGGGGTTAATTTTCTTCAGAGCTGCCTTTTAGAAATGAGAGCTTCCCGTCACTGCATGGGGCAGACTCATGGCAGGAGAAAGTTCTCTGACAGAGCCTCCTTCAGCCCACTCTGGAGCACGCAGCGAAACATTATCACATAAGTTTGGAGCAGTTCACTTTAAGTGTCAGTGGAAAATTATTATAGTTAAAGTGCAGTAAAAATCAAAAGTTGACTCTTTAGCCTGTGCACATAAATGTCTTAGGAACTCTGCCATGTCCTCTAATATTATATTGCAGACACACACACACACACACACACACACACACACACCCCTCTCCTGGGCATTAACTATATACACAGTGCACATTTTGGGGGGATTAACTACATATATAATGTTGTCATAGATGCATCTCTCATGTCATTTCATTTAACTCTCCGAAACACCTCACGTGTCAGGTGTTTAATCACTGTGAGTCACACAAAGATTTGATACTTGAGTTAAGAAATTGGCCCCTATTTATCCAGGTAATAAGATAAAATACCCAAAGTACTGAATTTCAAAGACCTTATTTTCCCCTGTGCCATACTGCAGGGCTAACAAGGGGAATAAACACTTTTCAGGCTCTTTGTGACTTCACCACAGCACTAGCCAGCAGCAGTTACTCAGAAACAGTTTGCTGAGGCTTGAACTGCCCTGGATGGATCACCCTTAGAGGCCTTTTGCTGTCCTTCTGACGTCAGCAGTTCTGGGACTTTGGGGGCCCCCTGAAGAACTGCATTTATGCCAGTGCTTCTGTAAACAACTGGTTACTTAACAGGGCTGTGTTGAGAACTATAGCAGTCCTAGAATCTGCCTTTGCTTCTCTTCTATCATTTTCTGATGTCCTGGAAAAGATTCCATTGTTTAATGCAGTTAAAAGAATGTCTTGATCTTTGGAGTTTTAAAAATTACAAAGCTATCCCTTTTTTCCACTCAAAAATAAATCAATCCATAGAATTGGAGTGTTTTACATGAAAAGAAAAAGAATTAATGTCATGTTTGGGTATTTTTTTCAGTTTTAAAGCTACAGAATTGGCTGTTTGTTTTGCAATGGAAGATGAGTTGAAGATAATAGTAAAGGCAATTATCTGGTCTTAAATATCATGAAAATGTTTGTCCAAAATGACAAACTGCCCCATAAATATTACATAGTTTTATCATAATTGTTACTACTCTAAAAGCTATACGATTGGACGAAACATAATTGTGAAGAAGATAATACTATTTCCTGGGTCCCCAGGGTGCTTCTCTACGATTCAAGACATCTCATGATTGGCTCCCACACAGCCCTTACAATCTCATTCCCTAGTCTCTATTACAATATTATCGTCTGCTTTCACCAAGTTTGTCCTGTTCTTGATGGTAAGTACCCATTGTATGTTCTAGCACTAACCTTTAGTCAGAGGTACTCACTAATCTTAAATTTTTCCCCCTCCAATGCCCTGCTCTTACCCAAACTCTACTTTTCATCAGGTCACGGATCAAGTCCACTTGCCCATGTCCTGCCTTCCCGGGTTCATAGAGACCTATCTACTTTCCATTTTAATGCCACTTAACACCAGAACCACCACCCAAGTTCTCACTAGTTTGTTAATGTTACATGTGTGTGCAGGGAAAAGAGAGAATGGATGTTTAGAAGGGAACCTTAGTCTGTATATCTTTTTTCTTCCATCAGATAAATGATCATTTCCATTGGTACCCACTGCTTGTGAATCAAACACTGCCATTCAGGTTTCTTCCAGTCTGGAGCAGGGCATGGAGCGAATGCCTTGCTTTGTGTTCCTGAGCACAATGTCTGAAATACTGGAACTTCTACCCATCTTCTATATCCACAATTGCCTTATTTGTCCCACAGTGATAGTTCTGTTTTGTCCCATTCTTTCCTGCTGGATTACCACTAAAAGCTAATCCAGGGGTGTCTTTAGAAAGTACAAAGTACCAGAGGGGTAGGGAAAAGGAATAAATATGAGAAAAGGAAAAAATGGAAACAAAGTCTTTGTAAATAGGAGTTGAAGAGAGTGCAGGGGGATGGGGAAAAAAATAAGGACCAAGATATGTCATGTAAAGGTACAAATTCCCAATGATGAATGCGATCATAATGTATACCTAAAATGTACCAATAAAAGTAATGAATTTTAAAAAGGAAAGTACAAAGTACCATCACTATTTTATTTCCTTGGCTGGAATAGCATATATTTTCATAGTTGTTATCCGATATCATTGAGGCATATCTCTATCTGAGAAAACCAATTAGTAAAGAAGAAATGTAAACACACCTAAGCCACTTTGTGTTGCAAAAAAGAGAGAGAAAGAAAAAAATCAACCTCTTTTTGGAAGATGGATTTGCATATTTCATGCATTGCTTCCCACTGGCAGCAGGTGTGACCAAACATGAAACAGGCAATTTAGCAATGAAAGATAGGTTTTGAAATTCATGTCTAATCAGCCATTTCACGTCATGCAGACAGGAAAAATAGCTCCTTTTAGATAGTATCTAATTAAAAGAACCACCGTATACTTTTTATTCTTACTTCTTAGTAAAAACAAATAAACAAAAACACTGAGCTACTAAAAAAGTGTATCTTCTGATGACTTGAAAACAACATTTCTGTTTTCTTTTCTCATCTAACCCAGAACTGCATGTGTAGTAGAACTGAAGACATTCTTACCAGCAAAGGAACAAAGGGATGAAATTCTCCAGCCCTCCCTACACATTCATTCTGCTGTGCTATTAAGTCTCACTGTGAGGAAACCCACTGCTAATCTACACACGTCCCACTTCATAGTCAGTCTCCTCTTACTCTTTCCTCATTGAGGTGGAAAGAGGTAAATAACCCTCTCTGCCCACATGGTTCATTTTCAAGTCACCCCGCATCCTTCAGGAAATAGGAAAAAAGTCATTTCCTTCATGATAAACTCACTTGCATAAGGAGAAAGTTTCAAAAGTTAATTCATTTGCTTGTTTGGTAATCCTCCACATCAAAGTTGTTTCTATTCCTATTCCTCACCTCAGAAACAGCCCAAGAAGGTCAAGGAAGGTCCAGTGATTTCCAGCTATCACCAAAGTGCCTGGAACCTTCTGCATCTTCCAAAGTGAACAGAAACTTTCCATGTATCTCCTACAGGGATGGTGTCACTCTAAGGATAGATTATCCTGCTGGTACATTATCCATGAATGATAACAATTATGATAATGACAAAGATAGCAATAATAATCAAATGCTTACTGTGTGCTCTGCTATTCTGTGTGCTTTAATCTATTAACACTTTAAACCTCAAAACAGTCCTATAAAAGTTCTATGAAGTAGGTTACCACTATTATCCCGATTTTACAAATAAGGAAAGGAAAACATGGCACACATACATCATTTTCCCTAGATGACCAGTCAAGTGTGGGCATGAACCAGCATTTGAACCCAGACAGATAGGCACTGGCGCTAAAACTCAGAACATCTAACTGTAATGCATCAGCTTACAGAAAGTGAACAGCTAGATTGTTTTAACATTTCTAAAGCATATATCGGCTTAGAACTTTGTGAGCTCTTCACCAACAGGAAGGTGAGTAATAAAATTGTAAGGCTCAGACATCTTTTCTAACATAATCTGCTGCAAATGGTTTGTTACTTTTCTTAACCCTACCATCATCTTTCAACAACTGTGTTTTTTTGTCAGAACCTACTGTGTTCAAAATGGAAGAATAAATTAGAGATGTAACACTACGTGATTAAAAGGGGAACACAAGCATGTCTAGACCCTGAGGAGCAGGAGAAGTTGGATGCTTGGCCTTTTCCTCATATCAGAAATTCTGTCTGTGATTCAACTTACAGAAGACAAACTGCTTTTTCCTCAGGATATTAGATGTCTATTTACAGAAAATTCTCCCAGAAAGCAACAAAGGTATTATGAGGATATAGTTTCCTCTGCTGCTTTGCCCAGTGTTGAGTGGACGGTGAGAACAAAGAGAACTAAAAACTTCAGGATGACAGAGATGGCAAGAAGTAGAAGAAAATGACTCAGTAGAATTTTTTTATTATCACTAAAACACTTGTTCCTATAGCAGTAACCTTTATTTTGTGTTCAGCCACATTTATCCTTTACTTTCTTTGTAAAGTATTATTTATTTAAGGACATAATTCTTCTTTCTCTTTTCCCTTTTAAATGTTGAATAAACCAATGAAACCTGTAGAGTTCTTCAGTGTCATTGTGGCGTGGGGGGGATCAATGCTGTTTTGGGAAAAACAGTCTTATTGGTAAATAAAGTACTGACAAAGATGAAAGGAAACAAAAGAGCTTTATTTATGCTCTCTAAATAAAAGTTTGAAAATGATGGGGAAATCATACAAGCACTTCAAAATAAGCAGCCACATATTCGATGGCAGATTAATACAAATCTTTAAACTCAAGTGAGAAACGTTTTTATTTCCTCATGTGAGGAGCTGTCTCCTCTTGTCCTCAACATAAGTCTACTTGTCTTAAGTCTGTATATCACCAGTTTCTCTGTCAACATGCTCCTGAGGATGGAAGGAAGCTAACAATCTTTCAGATATTCTAGGATGTGTTCTAATCCCACTTGCTGAATACAAATCACTTTTTAAGGGGTCATTTTTTTTTTGGTACTGGGGATCAAACACGGGACCTTGTGCTTCCGATGCAGGCCGCAGAATCACTGAGCTAAATCCCTGGCCCTTAAGGGGTCATGTTTTATATGAATAATTCATACAAATGCAACATTCTGTTCCATGAGAAAGATCTTGTTTTAATACAAAATGTTTTCCTTGAATTAGCTGAGCAAAACTGATACTTCAGAAAGATGACTGCAGCTTCACATGGTTTTTTCTGCCCAGTGCCAGGAGTAGGAGAATCACAGTTTAGGAGTTGAGCCTAATGGCAGCTAAGTGGACTCTTCCACATCATCTCTATTCAACACTCAAGCATAGGAAGTTAAATAAGATGGAAGAGCATGCAAACAAAAGAAACCTCTTCACAAAAGGCAAATAGATTTGTTTGCACTTAATTACTTCTGCTTTAGCCTCTAAAAAGGGATGCCAGAGGCAAAGAGTTGATCTAACGGTGATTCACAAGAACAGAAAAATGAAGCAATGGTGGCCCAGAAGTGAATCGTCTGCATCTTTCTGCAAACCACTCACTAGCAAATCTGAGTAACACAATTATTTTCCCAAGTCCCTCAAAGATTTTCACAAAAGTCTTTCAGTTTGCTTTCTGAAGCCAGTGATCACCAATAAGGTGCTCCTTATCATTCAGCTAAAACACTCAGAAATGTCAGTCAGTTTCATAAAAAGATCAGTATAATCAACTGAGTGCCTTCACATTATTTTTATCCAGTTTCCTAAATTCCCTGGTCATATACACAGGAGGCATCCAGTGTGAGATATTTTTCTTAAAGATTTCGGGAAGATACTAAATAGGAAAACATATTAAAATAAAACAATACCTAGATGTTTACAGAAACTAAATTTAAAAAGTAAAATACATTTATTTTAACAATCACAGGAGATCCCTCTACTTTACACAATCATTTCATTCTTTATTGTCATGCTTCAAAGAAAAATTCATGTCAGAAACACAACTTGAAAGGTAAGCACCACCTGTGGGTCTGCAGCTGTGCCCTTGCCCCATCACTTTGCACTGTAGTTACCTGCTTATACAGCCAGATCCTTGCTAAATGGGGAAATCCTAGAGGGCGGGAATCTCACTAGACTCCTCTTTGGACCTCCAGTCTCTGGCTCAATGAGTGTGTGTGTTGAAACTTCCATTCCTAACTATGAAGTGGACTGGTCTTTCTTCTTCATTTCTAATTTGACTCAGAGATCTCTCTTTGACTATACTCATGTGTACCTCACTAAACAAAGTTGAGGAGCTTGGTTTGTGGAGCAGGAATTTACAAAACTATTGACAGTTAATTACTGCTAAATAGTGACAGGGTGGGGGTTGGGGGAGACGCCAACTTTAAGAAGCTGATCACAAAACTTGCTATATTGCAAACAGAACAGTAATGTAAACTTATTACTGATAAGACAAAGAATGAGATTGGTTATATGAAAAATTGTGTCCCATTTCAAATGAGATAATATACACAAAATTAAACAAAATACATAGGCACCTAGAAAGAGTACTGTACGTATTAGCTTTTATGTAATATCAGTACCTTCTGAATACATTCTTGTCTTTAAAAATTTATTAGCTTTATCTGTTTATTTCCTTTCACTATGATACTCCAGGATTGATGACATAGTGTTTGTAAGGTGTTTTGAAATCCCTGAAGTGTTATAATCAACCCAAGCATCATTTTATTTATGCAAACTGTGTCTACCCAGCAAGTCCACTTAAATATTTAGGACTGGAAACTGCTGTCTCATAAGGCTTAATAAACAATTCCCTCTGGCTCTAAAAGCAAGTACTTTTTCAATGACAATGGGAGGGAAAGCAAAGGAATTGCTCTGTGGCATCTGTTGTGTAGTGCTCTCCGAATGGCGCATCTTGATAAATGCATGAGGGTCCTTGGAGAGTTACAGCACACACTGAAGAGAGATTGGTAAAAATCCCAGTACCTCTGAAAAGGAAGGCGAGACAGGTCAGTGGTAGGAAGGCCCCACTGTGTACATTAATGACAACAATGATGCTCGTAGTAGTCCTCACTTCACACAGAAGGGTAGCTTCCTAGGGTTTCTGATGAGAGACAAAATTAAACATGAAATTGAGATGGAGAAGTGAGGAAATGGTATAGAAGGAGAGAGGAGAAAAAATACTACTGAACAATTCAGAACTCAGGAAAAAATATAACATATTTGTGCGAACTTGCTGGACCTATTAAAGCCAAAATGACAATTTTAAATTACATTGATATCCTCTATGTGTCCCATGTAACAAATGTATTCAGATATTTAATGGAAGTGGGGGATGAATGAAGATCAATCAGATTAACTTTTAAAAGAAAGCTAGCTAATAAGTAGCAGAGTAAGATTACACAACTAACCATCAGCCTCTAAACTCAGGCAACTTTGGGCTCTGTCTAGTTCTTCCCCATGCACTGGAGACAGACTTTGACTTCAAAAGCAGAATGCTTGGTGGGAAGGACTCATTTACAGAGGCAGCAAAGTCTGGAAGTTCACAAAAGATGTGGCTCTGCCAGTGATTTTTTATATGACTTTCTTGTTTCTTGCCTACTAGTAACCACTTTAAAATATTTAAAAGTGAGTTAATATACATAAAACATTATAACTTCCTAGTTAAAATGCTACATGAACAGCTCAAATATTATCATTTAATTTGTATAAATTATTGAAAAGAAAGTAAAGCTGCCAATTTTACATATTTATTCATCTTGCCCTTAAATAGAGAAATCCCTTAAGAGACTCCCTAATGCTATGTCTATGATGAACTATGTATACTCATACCTGCATTTTATAACCCTTTGTCTCATTATATTTGAAAAGGCTTTAACAGAATTCCCAGATCCAATATTTTAAAGTAGAAAGGTCTGTACTTGCACCATTGTCTAGCAGTACTTGACAGGGAAAACCATAGCAAATAGATTCCTCATTTACCTCCAAGTCACCATCAGGGATAGCTCTTCTCCATTTTACGTTCCACCTAATGTGTTCATAGGCATTGACCACAACCTCAATTGCTTTGGGACAAGAATGGCAAGCCTGTATCACCTGCAGAAAAGAACATTTTCATCTGTTCAATGTACACATCTGATTCATATATTTTGTTCACAGACATAGCGAGAATTCATATACCATGCCCAGGTTGGGTAGCATGCACCTATAGTCTTGGTAACTCAGGAGGCTAAGGTAGGAGGATCTCTTGAGCCCAGGATTTTGAAAATAGCCTAAGGTAGGAGGATCTCTTGAGCCCGGGATTTTGAAAATAGCCTGGGTTAGGCCCTGGGGAGCACTGAAGTGCTTTTGAGAAGTCTCATGCCTTTGAGTATTCAAACACACTGCCAGTCACCACGAAGGATGAGGAATTTAATAAAATCAAACTAACTTCCTTCACCCAGAATTAGTCTAGATGAAGTGATAACAAAGAAGGTAAGAACCTGAAGGATTTTTATCAATAAATAAAAGATGGTATAAAATTTAGATATTTCATTAGCACACTTTATTCAATAGTTCTTTGACTAATCAAAAAGAATGAGAGAGAGAGAGAGAGTTGAGTCAAGAATTCCAGCATTTCCCACAGGAAATGGAAAGTTTACATTTTAGACCAAACTGAATTGGACATGTAGCCACTTAACCAATCTTTGATGTAGCCGTAAAGTTTGCACCAATCTGATCAATCCATCAAGTAGACTTATTTTGATTGTAAGTATAAAGATATGTAAGAAATACAATGCTTCTCTTCAGATTGGTCCCTCAAAACCCAATCCTCACCCTCCACAGATACTTCTGGGTCCACCAGAGTTCTTCCACCTTCTTCTGTCAGAATAACTTTATCACTGGAAGTCCATTTTCATTTAAAATAGATCTTAGCTGGCTCTCCAGTGTGGCCAGGAAATGGCCCATTAGGAATGTCCCAACATCAGTGATAACTTCTGATTCCAATTTAATCACCTTTCTCTCCTTTGCCACCAGACAAGCCACTCCAGCCACAGACTTTTAACCACATAATCTAACCTGTAAATCTATAGAGCAACCATTTATCTCCATTGGTCTTGTTTTATGTATGTATTTTTGCCTCTCATCCTTATGATAAACCTCTCTCCATAAACCAGCATGTTGTATTTTCAGAGTATTTCTTCTCACTATGAATTACCTATCAGTCCTCTTTTTCCCCTGGAAGTCAAAGAACATAAGTGAGGCCCACTGAAGGGTCCTCTTCAAGTGCCTCTCACCCTCCACCATTAGAAGGAAGCAATGCTTCTGCACCTCAATGACTTTCTGCTAAAAAAAAATCCTTCCTGATTTCCCAATCTGACTCAACCTCAACCTACTGCTGCTGAGCAAACGATCTCAAAACTGGTTTTTCCCACTTTCTTTACCAGTTTGTCATCAGTGGTCTGGCTTTGCATTTTTCAGTGCAATTAGGGTGGTGAGTACTTAATGACTTGAAATCTCAAGCTACAGAAAGATCGTCATTTTAATATTTATCTCTGTGTGTGCGTGTATACTGATAGTAAAGAGCTCATACTAAAGGAAGGGTCCTTGTTAGGAAAAGAGCCAAAGGAAAGAACAAGTAAGGTGTAGCCATCTTACAGTGTACCTGGAAGGCCAGTGTAAAGACCCTGGCACTGACTTGATGAACAATCGGAGGTTGTTAACTGTTCTTAACTGGGAGGGGTTATAGCCCTTCTAATCATTCCATTGGGAAGCCTTTATCGAGCACTGGTTTGGTACTAGGACAGTAATGCTGAGCAGTTTATGACCTGTTTTTTTGTCTTCAAGGAGTTCACAACTTCACTAAACAGAAAAGACATAGATATTTCAAAGAGTTAGAGAGCATGTTAGTCAGTAAATAGTGAAAGGCTAACTTAAAGATTATCTGGTCACCCTGAGTACTGTGAGCTAAGGGAGAAAACCAAAATATCAAAGGCAGACAGCAGTGAGAGGCCAAATGGGGCGGGTCCCAGCAGCTTCTCCTTAGTCCCAGGAATGATGAGTGATGAACTGAGGGAAACAATAGGGCTGGCTTGTAAAGAAAGAGAAACTTGACTCATGTGTAGGAAAATGGATGCATATTGAGACCATAACGCTAAGGAAATAAATCTGACACACCAGCTTAAATATCATGTGGTTTCTCTTATGTGAGAAACCGAAAGTATACATAAAGAACAACTAAAAGGTAATAGGAAGCAGGAAGATGGATCTTCCTCAAAAGAGAAGTGGGCCGGCCAAGAGATGGAGGGAAGGGAGGGAAAGGGGATAAAAAAAAGGAATTAGGACGTGTTGTGCACATGTACCAACTCCACACAAGGAATGCAAACATTATGTGCTACAAATAGGTACTAATAAAAATTACATTGAAATTCCAATGAATAAATAAACCAAACTAGCTTTAAAAAATAAGTAAGTGTAGTGTTAAATTATAGAATAAATTTAGAATGAAAATGGGATTTTAAAAAGACTGAGTAGTTCTCCTAGAGAAAAATCTCACAAATACAAAGCAAAAAATATAGAAACAGTGTCTTCATGTTACAGGCTGGAGTTTGCTAGAGTAGATATGCTAATTGGGGTAAAAGGAATAAGGCATATACACTAATGAATGGGATCTGGAAACAACATCATTTTTGATCAGTTGCTCATACACTGGTCTACCATTCAGTAGCAAGTTTCTTAGAGTTTTCTTAAATTAACCTAAACAACACCAATTTGACCTTGTATTGATGCATATCTCAAGAATATACCTGTCAAATACTTGTGGACATTACAGCGTAACTTTTATGCACTATTTGAATTTTCATTTAGAAACCTCAACCAGAGGTATAGAGAAATTGGAGTTAAAAAGTTTTAAAAGGGCTGAGGATTTAGCTCAGTGGTTCCGCCACCTGCCTCACAAGCACAAGGTCCCAAGTTCAATCCCCAGTACCAAAAAAAAAAAAAAAGTTTAAAAAGAAAGAAAAAGAATAGGCAGAAGAACACACAAATGCAAGGAGAGATAGATAATGAGCAGGACAATATTTCATCTATGATGTCAGTTTTGGTCAAAATGAACATGATAGATGACTCTGATAAGAAGCCAAGAGGGAGGTAGGTGCTTTGTGCACCATTGAAGTATGTAGTATGTGCCAGGCTAGGCATGGTGATGCACACCTGTAATCCCAGCACTCTGGGAGGTTGAGGCAGGAGCATTGCAAGTTTAAGTCCAGCCTGGACCATTTGGTGAGACCCTGTCTCAAAATCAAAACTAATTTTAAATAAAAGGCTCTGATGTGGCTCAGTGTAAAGGTCCTGGGTTCAATCTTCAATATCACACACACAAAACAAACTATGTGCTGGCTAGGGTTATGAGGCTCAGTCATACTCTAGAGGGATATAAATGGAAAAGGGAAAGGACTAGCTCTAGAAATCCTGCTAGGTAGGAGAGAGAAAAGAGGGGAAAAAATTACATCTACCATTGTCGAAGGTTTTACTATGTATGAAGAATCATGTAAATCTTTTTTGTTTGTTTGTTTGTTTTTTGTACTGGGGATCGAACTCGGGTCCTTGCGCCTGCACAACAGGTGGCAAAACCATTGAGCTAAATCCCCGGCCCCAGTGTAAATCTTTATATACTTTATCTTGGTCAATCTTCAAGCAACCCCATGAGGTTGGTCCTATAATCATCCCCATTACACAGATTTAAAACCAAAGGGTGAGAAATTGTAAGCTCCAGGCATTTAGTAAATTGTAGAACAAGGATTCAAAAAGAGGTCTGCATAACACCCAAGTCAAAAGACAACCAGTTGTGTCAGAGTGAAAGATATCACATGAAGGTACTGGTGAGAGCCAGTTGCCACTGCAGCCACAAGAACCAGAAAGACGAAAACAGATTAAATATTACCACCTTGATTCGAAAGCCAGGTTACCAATGATGAAACAGGCAAGAACAAGGTCATGAGGGGCAGATACCGGATGGATGAACCCTTGTAACTAGGGCTAACCCATCCTCATCTTTAAGATCTTTGTGTCATAGCATGCAGGGTTTTAGGGCCCAGTAATAACTTTTTCGTCTGAATTAAAAAGCTGGGTGTGATGATGCACATTTGTAATGCCAGCACGTGGGACTCTGGGGCAGGAGGTTCATTGTGAGTTTGAGCCAGCACCTGGGCTACATAGTGAGTTCAAGGTCATCGGGAACTACACAGCATGACCCTGTCTGGAAAAACAAACAAAAACAGATAAATAAATAAACTCTTTAAAAATGAAATGAATATGACAAACGTTGTAGAACAGAACGTCATCTTTATTACTGATGACATTGATAACATATGTTGAGTTACAGGACCACATAGAGCTTTTAACACTGTACCCTCAAGTTAATTTTATACCTCCAAACTGCAGGTCTTTCCCAGAAGCAGAGTGCATCCTTGGTGGTGTGCCACACAGAACAAATACCTCAGATATCCGTTAGAGGTCCCACAAAGTCCAGCAAACAAACACAGTTTCTCCTCCCACCTATTCAATCGGTTACGTAAAGTGAGAGATTGTAAACAGAGGCTGGTCAGGGGCTATTTTGCCAGAATTTCCCATATGAAAATGTGGGACAAAGGAAATGGCAGTTTTCTAAATAATGCACCCAAACCCATCAAGGCCATCTCTACTGGAATTGCCCCAAAATGTTTTAATGTTTTTCTACATCTATTATGTCTGTATGTGTTCATCTGCTCCCAATCTCACCTCGGTAGCTTGAAACTCACCATGATGGGAGTGTTTACATCACAGAAATGAGTACATGATACTACACAGACCATTTTTAAATTTAATCTGCACTAGAAACATGTTCTCCACTAATTTCTTAACTCCAGATATCGATAGAACAGTAAGTCAAGGTCTCCTTAGTATTGTAGAGACTCTCCACCATTCAAAAATAATAGAACAAATAAGAGGAGAGGATAGATATGTAGAGCAAAATGACTAGAAAATGTAGAGAAAAAAAGTTAGGAAGTAATATATTTTTATCATTTATTCTCCTTAGTTTTTAGTACTTTGTTGTCTGTTTGCATGACTTATTTGTT